GGGCGGCGTCTACTGCGCTGGATTTTAACTATTTTGTACTCTTTTTTAAAGAATTCGTAAAAAGCGTGGCACATTTGTGTTATACATTATATTAAAAAATTTTACGCTCTTCACCTTGGTAAACTATTAGTAGGGTTTATTTAAAAACCATTACATAAAAGTAATAGTAATATTGTGTTCATCAGCTTATGTAAAAATTTGCTTTAATTTTAATATAGTTAAGATGTGAAAAATATAGCAAAATTTAGGCGCTTTTATATTTGAAAGCATTCTAGAATAAATATTCTTTGTATTTTTAAGAGTAGATGTTTTTTGAATCAAATTCAGAAACTCAATATTTTATACTTTCGTCATAATTCCTTGAGCTATGTTATATTGTAACTCAGCTACGTTAATCTACTGCATGCGCACTTCAATTTTCTATCATAAGCTAGAGTAAAGTCGGACTGTGAAAGATATAGTCAAAGCTAAATATACACTACCGGGGCTCTGCAATCCTAGAATGTAATTAGTAGTCCGTTTGAGTGCAACTGTCTTAGAAATAGGTTATATATTTATCATGATTTTCCTTTGTCGCTTGTTTTCTCACTATCCAGCTTTTTTTTCGGGTTTACAAAATCAACATGACATAGTCATTACAAAATTGAGTATAATTATTATTGAAACGATTAAGGAGCATTTGACAGAGAGAGTGAGAGAGAGAAACTAATGGTAATACATCAAAGGAGTTCTACTTATGGCATCAGATGAGTAGGAGAAGCCGACACACTTTAATTGTGGATCCTAATTTGTTCTTGATTTTCAGCAAATAATTCAAAGTTAATCGAAGGTTTTAGTAACAAAAGCTGAATGTGAAAGAATATTTGGCTGTTACGCAGGTTGCCTTTTTTATTTCGAGACTTGGCAAAGCTAATGTTGCAATCTGAAAACACACAACTTTATCGTAAAGTTTGATATTTTTATTGTTTTACACACACTCAGAACGTTTTAACATACGAACGCTATTTCTGTTGTTTACAGTAACTTAAAATATTCATCTCGGTCATAGCATGGAAACAATGTTTATCGATGGTGCATTCAATCGAGGGTGTCATGTGATCTATTTTGAGACCAGCATACATTCAATATTGCATGAACATTTGATTGCAAAAAAAATTGTTCGCGTTAGATGCCATATAATTTGGTATGCGTTCCAAAAAAAGCTCGTGCCGATTGGTCGAGAGAAATGTTAATAAAATATGAAAGCGGTGCTCCGAAACACGTCTTTGACATCAGTGTCTCTGACTTCAGTGATATGAGCCCGAAAGTAAACAGCAGTCATATGGATGGATGTTTTAAAATGGCTCGAATCCAACACTAAGCACTTCTAAGCAAATGTTTGCCTGTTTTTTTTTCGAAACTCAAAACATCGATTTGATAAGTCATCATCAGTCTGTAGAGACCTGACGTGGCACCGAAAAACTTCTTTTTATTCTCGTACATAAAAAATAAACCAAGCGGTAAACATTTTTCGTCACCTGAAGAGGCGGTTGATGCTTTCGCATGTTTTGGAGATATCTTAATCAGAGTGGCAAAAGTGCCTCGATAATTGGTTCCAACGCATGCAAAAGTGTATAAAAATAAATGGAGAATAGTTTAAAAAACAATAAAGTGATTTTTGAAATTTAATATGCGGCGTGAATCAGAAGACGTGTTAGCGCCAGGTTGCTGCGAAGGTGCTGTCATTCGGTTTGAATATCTAGTATAGTCTGTTTGATTCGTTAGTGTATTAAAAGACCGAATGGAATCAGAAAATTTTTCTGCAAAGATAAGAGACTATCTCTAATATTCTCACAACATTTGGGTATGGTAACAACAATTTATACATATTTGTTAGGAATTGAACCGAGTAATCCAAAAGCTACGTATGTCAGAAATTGATATTCGTAACTATTTTCGAAATGCTATTTTCAATATCAAACTACAAGTACAATTTTAAATACTATTACTTTTGAAGTAAAAACGATATAAATAGGTATAATCAAGAGCGTATTAACTTTTGCAAAAAAGACGAAGTGAAAAGAAAACCAAATGTAATATAAAATGCTGTGAAGCAAAGCGACTCAGGCAGTGACAATGTTAACGATACCAGCAACAAAAACAACAATGAAACAAAATTTACTAACGCTGCGGGTATTCAATGGAAACAAATCAGGACTACGCCACTCACAGCCTATGTGGCTGCATGGAAAATTCAGTTAAATTTGAAACGCTGCCGAAAACATACGCGAACGGAAATGTGGAAAGGTGTGGCAGCCAACACAGCAGCAATAAAACCACAACTGTTTTATACAGTAACACAACTCAAGCTGAGAGGAAAAAGAACCGGCGGCATGAAAGCAATAACAATAATAACAAGTAACAGTGGCACCAGTCACAACAAACATTTCACACACACACATACATATATATATATATATGCATATACACAAAAGCATTACCAACGGCATTAACAGCGACATCAGCAAAAAACTGGCAGCGCTAAGCAAAAAGCAGAAAACGAGAAAAAAACAACAACAACAAGAACATGCTGAAAAACAGAAAAGTATGCAAAGGACACGGTAAATAAGCACAGTTGAAAAATAAATCCAAACCCTCTGCATGTGGTGACTAACACACACACACACACATACACAGAGTAAAACTTTACGGGCCTTCAAACGCTTTATGCAGATACTTATATATGTATATCACAGCACGCCTTGCTATAGACAGATAAATTTACAAAAACTACGACAACAAGAAAAAAAATAAAAACACTATGCAATAGAAAGCACTTTGGTGCCAAAGCAGCGTTGGTAATGAAAGTATATGGCTGCGGAGCAGTTGCAAAGCGCGCTGCTTGAATTCACATTTATCTTGATTTTCCGCCAGACACTAGGCGCTATGAACTATTACTCTAACTACACATTACGTTAGGCAAATGCCTGCGCACTGCAGAAGTGTGAATGCATGCGAGATTGTTATTAAAGACGCACATAGCTCGGCTTCGTTAAATACTAGATTTTAATCAGAGTTAGCCAACTTTAGGGGAAGTTGTGCAATAACCTTCAATTGTTGTTGACATATTGCCGAAATTAGTTTGGCTTTTTTAATCAATGCTCTGAATTACACTTGAGACACATATAGATAGGCTTATTGTGTTGGCAAGATTTAATATAGGTTTCAAGCTACTCTCGCTTAAACAGTCCTAGGGCACTCACTTTTTGATTGGAGTTTTAGACATTGTGGAAGATATTTTTTCTTAATCTAGCGGTTGAGCTCGTCTATTTTGTGAATGTCTTTTATATGTATGTACAAGTATATATGTTACGTAGGCGGTTGAAGATACTTATAATGCTTACAGAGTTTCAAAGGTTTATGAATTGCCTTTGCGCATATTTTATCGTTGTGAGACTTCGCGTTGAATGTCATATATGCAAGCTGCCAAATTTTTAATATTTGGTGCTTTTCTAGTGAAATTTTTAGTTGGTTTTTAACTTAAGAATTAATTTATTGCCATCATCAATTCTTTGAATTAAATTTTACACATGTAAATTTCAATGAGAATATATGAAAATATTCTCCAATATTTTTAAGCAAATTGTTTCGAAGATATGAGCGTGTTTCTAAGAATTGCTTTTAATTCAATGTAATAGGCTTCCAAACTTTTAAAGGCATTTTTCTCGAAACGCTTTTTTCAGAGTCGTTGGGGAACTTTACTCCGAAGCGGCTAGACCGATTGACATGAAATTTTCACACAACCCGAGTAGATATATTTTTTAGGTAATAAACGAAGGAGTTTGATTTGTGATAAAATTTAAATTTTAAAAATGTTTTTGATATTTTGAAGCGTAAATTTTTTTATAAAAATCGACTTTGTTTTTGAAGCCGCCATTTTTCCAAAAATCAGAAATATTATTACCTGAATTCAGCTATAATAATAATACAATTTTTAGTTCTTGAATCTGAGATAATTTTAAGTTAAAATTTGAGATAATTTTAATGTGAATCTTCCTCATAGCCAGACCGCGTTTTTCAGAGGTTCTCCTGTAAATCGGCTACAGAATCAAGCTAATCCAGATTTTTTCAAAAAAATTATAGATTATTAAAATACGTTAAATTCTAAAAACGCACGTTATTTTTAGTTAGTCATTAAAGCGCAAGTGAATCCAGAAGTCGTATAAGAGTCGTATCAAATATCGGTTAATACACTTGTTTTCGTTTGTCTTTACGTATAGTGTTTACCTAACAGACAATTCACTAGCTGCGCTGAACTTGAAAGCTCGTCATATTTTGACCCAATCATGCCCAAGCGTAAAACCTTTAAGATTTAGCGAGCAAACAGTTAGAAAGAACCTGAATATTTCTTTTGTAGAACTCGAAATTTTCTTTCAACGCAGCCGAAGACTGCTTTCTGAGAGTAAGCGCTAACTCTTATAAATATAAGCACTGCTTATTTTTTTTAAAGCTTTTTTGGTGTGTCTGAACAGTGAAAAGAAAATTTTTTATATTAAAAATATATTAATATTAAAAATATATAAATAATATACCATATATACATATAAAATCGTAATTTATGAATTAATTAAGTGTTGTAGAGTAATTATTTTTCTCAATATTTTATTGAAAAACATATTAACTCAAATTCATAATTTTTTTCGAACGCTAATCTTGGCTCAAAATTATATTAAGTGAATAACTTTTGTTCGCGGCGTCACCAAAAATATCATTCTGGGGAAGAAGAAAGTACAAAAAAATATATTTTCCTAAAATTTCAAATATTTTGTCAGAACTACGACACAACTAATATTTTTGGAAACCGTCGAGCACATTTTCATTAAAAATAACTATGCATTCATCTCTTTTAATTTCATGTATAATACGCTGCAATGACTGTAGTTTAACTGGTGCCACTCCTTACAGGCAATAAAATGTGTGTGCTAATAAATTCAAACTTAAATATTCCGAACTCAAACTACCTCAAGCGTTTCGCACCTTCGAGCGATTCACACAGTCGTCTGGCGCTCTGCGTGTCGGCCCATTAAACACATTTACACACTTGTATAAGTAAAATCTGCATTCAGTTTGAAATATTTAATAGTACACGCATTGGTTCATGATTTATGCAATGCCACTTACTGTTTCATGCGCACTCACTCCACACGGCACGCCTTCAATGCCTTAACGGCAACGTTTACATTAATCTGCTTTGTCTGCACTTTACACTTTGCCCGCATAGGCACACACACACTCGCGCGCGCACACTTATGCAATGCGCTTTGTACTTGAAAGCGTCTACTGTGATTTATACACTGGCATACACGTGCTGCTGTATGTTCAAAACAAATATAAATTCAACATGCACTACATAAACACACTTGGGTATTTGTTATTTCCAGCAGAGCAGTTTCGCGGACAGAACCGCATGTATGTGCATATGTGTGTGTATTTGTTTGTTTATTTTAGTAACGTCTTAGCTTCTATGCGCGCATGAATACGTAAATTTTAGTTGCGCAACTGTAAAAGTATAGCGCTGTCAAGCAACTGAGTTTCAATGACATCGGCAAAGGCGAGTTATTCAAATAACTATACACAGCTTTAAGTTTTGTCACTTTAGTTTCTCTACTACACAAATTACGTTTGATTATTTTACATTTGTTATTGCCTAAAACTTTTAGTGCAAATCGCACATTATGCTTTCAACTATCCTTCACTTTTGACACATTTGTATAGCTTAGTTGACACACATGAAATGCTTCACACGTTGCTTATACGCCGTGTAGTGCACACTGTACGAGAACCGTGCCGTTTGAAAGTTACTCCGCTACTAGCTGGCACAGCAGGGATGCTGTGTGATTTCATAGCAATGAAATCGTGATTTTGCGAGTTTTTCATGAAGCTGCGAGAGCATTGGCGAGCGTACGTAAGAGCGAATGTCAAGCATTTGGCGTGTCTACTCCTAAAAATACTGGGTATTTTGCTGTGGCAGCAAGGACAATAACAAGCCAAGGAGTGGCAGGTGAAAATATACCAAAACATTTTGTCTGCAACATTGTTTACGCCACAGACAGCTGATTGCTGCACAAGAAGTTGCTGTTTTAGTGCGCGTTGCCTTTAAGTTTTTGTTGTTAAATTGCGGCGTACAACGGCATTGTAGTCATGTAATGCTGTTAGTCGCACGTGCGCAACCAAAAGCTTTTAACCACTGTTTTGCTGTGCTATTAGTACGTTCCATACATATTTATATGTATGCATATTTTTTTGTTTGGTTGGCTCACACGGCGTATACGTTACTTTTTCAGTTTAATGTGTGCGTGTGTGAGTGTGTCGATTTGTATATAAACTTTAATATTTTTTTATGTTGCTGCTTGTAAATTATTTTTATCTACTTATATAGTTAGCATCCCTGATTGAGTTTGTTAACTTGTATATATGTGTGTGTGTTTAGAGGTTTGGCAGCGTGCGTTGTGGTGTAATGAAGCGCAGTGCATTGTTGGGCGTTAAGCGCAAATTTTCAGTAATTTTGCACTCATAAACCACGGTCAATGAGGGTGAAAGCCAAACGTTAGTATCGATAAAGAGTATTTATATGCGGCTTATTATGATTATGCGGGGGAAATTAGTAATAAGTGCCGCTCACAAGACGTCTGCGAGGTCATAGTGTAGGCACACATGTAAATATTTGAGCTGACCAATTGTTGGATTAACATGACCAATATTTTATATTGTATTTAAGCTTTTGATATAATTGGATAAGTGAAAGTCATTACGCGTTCATTAGTTTTTGATATATTTGATATCAATTCGTCTTCGACACACCTAGTGTGACAGCCTAAAAAAGGCGATTTTTGGGAATAAATAATAAACTATTCTATTATAATTTGATTTTTATAAATATTTTAAGAATACCAGGAAACATTTTTTTACAAAAAATTTAATAGTTTTTGAGTTACACGTGATCTCCGACGCTGATACAAAAAAAAAAACAATTATCTACTAGAAGATATACTTGTAGTGCGTACAATGACCTACGGTCGAAAGTAAAAACAACAAGAAATAAGTAAGAAAGGGCTAAGTTCGGCTGTAACCTAACATTTTATACAGTCGCAAGTTAAAGTGATACATATGATTATCGTATATATTTAAATTAAAAATAGAAAGTATTGCATTCATTATTGACAATCGCAGGCAAGAATATACACTGTTATTAGAAAGAGATTATTTCTGAAATTTATTAGGATTACTTACATATTGACCGGTAGATGTGGTATAAAGTCAATCGTGAGTACGAAAATATTTATATTATGTATTTGAGCGCTAAAGGAGTATTGAACCAATTTTACCACCTTTTGACACAGGACCTTGCTGTCATCACAAAAATATTCGCACCGAATTTCTGTACTAGAACTCACAGATTGACAGATATGTTCTGTAAAAAATCAACCAAATATACTGTTGTTCACATATATTGTGTATGGGTACTTGAAAAGTTATAGTTCGATTTCGACAATTTTTGGCATAAAATTAAATACCTTGAGAGTACTGCTTGCGCAAAGTTGTATCGCGATATATATTTATTAGTGCTTGATTTGTAAACTGGAGGTGAAAGAATCAGATGGAATTTAAAATTATGTTATATGGGATGTAGTATTTCGCTATCAACCAGTATAGCGTATAATAAGAATGTTCGGTTAATCTCATATGTCAAATTAGCTAAGATATGTAGGTATGTGCATTAAACCATTTAGGAGCGGCGCCACGTCCACTTTTAAAATAAATTTTAGCCAACAGTTGTCTCTCGTTAGAGCGATCGCTATTACCAAAATACATTTTTTTTTCGGCGGCATATAAAAAAAATTTGAGTTTTAGCCAAAATTTTGATCGTTTTTGGCTTGCCAAATTCGATTTTTGATCAAACCAAAAAACTGATAGGGCATTGTATACAGTAGTTAGTCACTGCGGCGAATTCGAAAAATGCTATTTTGAAAAAAAACGCGTTTAAAGTAAAACTAATGCAGCTGCTTGAGCTGAGTGGTTTTACTTTAGAAAGCTGTAACTCAAAAACGATTTACAATAAGGATTTTAAATTTTAGTATGCTATTTTTAAAGACATTGTTAATTATGAAAAAATCGATTCTTTAAAATTTCATGCTAATTGTGCTCCTTATTAAAATAACGTTTTATAAGTGATTTAATGCGAGATAACTTTTCGAGCCGAAAGGGCAAGTCAACGTGCAGAAGGAAGTCATAATATTCATATTGAATGTATGAGAGGATTCTTTGCAGTTTACGTGAAATAGCTGCACCTAATGGTTCTAAGCTTTTCCACAAAAATATGAAAATATTGCAGTATTTCAATTAAGAAAACTCTGCTTTCTGCCTACAATGCTGTCAACACAAAACGCCGCTTGTTTGCCTCTATTATGAAATAATTATCAGCTCATTTTGCTCCGCTCATTCGCTATGCATGTACCGTTGTTTTTACTTTCGGCTCAATAACATGCTCTTCAACTGCGCTAAGTGTTTGTATACTTATAGGTATATGAAATTATATGCCATACATATATATTGTTTGTCTGCCACAAGGACACATTCGCAGCGCATGATTTTATTTTTGCCATTCTTGTTTTGTTTTTTTTTTGTTTTTGTGTCTGTCAGCGGCATTAACGCGCTGCGAATTCTTTTGTTATTTTTTATTTGTTTGTTGCACCAATTTCATTTCCTTGTATTCTGCTGAACTTTCGATCGATTTTTGATTTTCACTTTGAACTCGTAATTTTTATTCTACTTGCTCCCGCACACGCCTTTCGAGTGGTAACCTCAAAAACTGTTTGCATCATGCGCATGAAGTTGCCTGTGCGTATATCTGTCGCATCGAATTTCAGAGCGGCAACCAGTAAATATTGCATGAGTCATGCAGCTGTATATATATATATATATATATATATTTATACATACATGCATATGTACACGCAAAAAAGACAAGCGGGCATATGAGTGTGTGAGTGTGGGGTCGAGCGTGGGGAAGCACTCAAGTATATGGTTTCCGCTTTTGAGGTCAACAAAATCCAACATTAAACAATAAATTACATTAATACTTTAAAATGGTCAAAATAAAGTGCATGCTTTTTATGGTGGAATTCCGAATAAAATTTCGGAAAACGTAATTTATTGCCAGTTGTACTTTATACGTTGTCGGAAGGGAAAATAATAAAATGATTTGGCTGTTATATGTTTCAATATAAATACAGTTTTATTATCTTTTACTTTACAGATCCTTCTTTTTCTTCTTTACTGGCATAGACACCGCTTACAAGGTTAGAGCCAAGCTAACAACAGCTAGTCGTGTTTAGGTGAGCTTCATTACGGATGGGTCAAATCTTTTCTATTGTCAGGAGTCCTCAATCAACTTTTTAAGACTTCCTGACTTTTAAGACTGTAACTGTAAGGCTGACGAATTAATAATGAAATAGACCCTAGCCCGGCAATCAGTAGAATAGGAACGAGTGGGTATTCTACTACTGGATAGCTTGGCTCTGCCGTAGCTCGGCCTGCGCTGGGCTATTATCGACTCATGCGCTATCACAAAATCCGTTTGGTTTAACTTCATAAGAGATCCAGTGTGCTCTTTGTCCTCAGTAAGGCTAGCCTCTACCTGGTTGTGGGAGTTCTAACAGGTCATTGCGTTATCGGCGTCTGCGCTGTAATGTTGAGAATTTTATCGTGAAACGATTGCAGAAGCTGTATCGAGGAAGACGAGGTGGAAACATTTCAACAATAACCTCTTTGATTGTTTGGCATTTGTGGGATCAAGGCTCAAGCACTTTAGAGCTCAAACTTTCAGAAATCTCATCGAACCGGTGGGATTAGAAATTAAACGGCTGAGAAGTTTTGTTGGCTTGATAAAATATATGAATTCTGATTTTCTAGCTTCACAAAGGACTGCACATATTAGTGCAAGGGCGATCGCTGTATCAGCCATCCAACCTAACCTAACTTGAATCAGTGATTAATTTTGAAAAATTTTCCGTAGTCGATCTCCGAAAAGACCTTCGAATAAAGATATCAGGCGGTGAGGCAGAAAAAGTATTAAAATTGTCTTATATCTTAAAACCAATAAATGTATTATTTCTATAAATTAATTCAGGTAATGATGTTTTAAATTTTCCATAAATTAGCGGCTTGCCAAAAAATACAATATTTTGCAAAAAAAAAAAAAAAATACATTTAAAAGTCTTAAAAAATCAAATGTATTGTCAAAAATATTATTTCTTGGACCATTGTCAATACAATATATCTAGAAAGAGTGAAAATTTCAAGTCGACCAGTTTAGTGGTTTTGCAGAAATTTTACTCACCGACCGTAAATATAGCGTTTCGCGAAAAATGCCTTGAAAGTTTTGAGTTGAGGGCTAAAATAAAAAAAAAATCTTACATATACGGATTATTTGGTATTTGAAATGAATTTTTTTTAACCTTGCTTCCAAAGAGCAATTTTACAACGTTACGGTACTGTCATTTTTTTTTCACGGATGCATTGGTGTCACATAATAATGAACCTTTAAATTACTTGCCAAAAGCGGCATATTTTACAATAGTAAATTAAGTTGTCTAGAAAGACGAGGCAAAGTGTTTACTATTTTCTAGGTTACTTTTGTACATAATGTGTTATTTCAATTGCTTTGCAAAAAAGCTGCAAGCAATGAGTCACTTACTATATGCCTATTCATTATATACATTATTGCAGCCCAAGTTCTTGCTATGACTTTATCAGTGCATTGTTTTTCTTGCCAACAAATACAACGAGCGTTATGTTGCAGCTATTCAATTGTGT